ACCTATAATACGACCATGATCAGATGTTGTTTAGCCTAATAAATATTGTTGTCACTACTTTACTTGCGATAGCTATTCTCGCGCGGTTTCACCCGCTGCTCGGCTCCATTTAATAGTGGCGTGATCTTTTATAGCCTATAGCACTCAGGAAAATTTTAGCTATCTATCAGTACAAGAATTATGGAAATCCGACCAGCGGTTCTAAAGATAACCCCCTACATACAAACTTTACCTCTTTATAATATTAGTATAGATAATATCGTTTTTGATTCCAGAAATATAGAAGTCACACTTCAAACGAGGCAATTAGACATCCAGTACATTATTAAGACCTTTTAAAAGTTTTTAAACTTATCCGGTTGTAATTATTTACTTACAGTAAGTTCAGTAATATGTATATATCATACTCGTACCTACGTCATACTCGTATCACACTCGAGCCAGACGTTAAACCTACATGCATTCCGGAATACACGTCACGCATTCATCTCTTCTACTAGGTACAAATTTTAATTAACTTCAATACTTACATACAAACACCTGTTGCTCACATGGTTAATGGCAGTTGTCAGTTGTTTAATTTAAAGATATTGAATGTGGATGCCATCGTTATTCATTATTTAGTAGCCTAGAACTACAAATTGTTGAGTAATGACAATTTGTACTGACTTCCGTAGCCTCTTAGGATAGGCAAAGAATAGACGTAATGATACTTAATGTGTGTCAACAGCCCAACAATAAGGACGTACATCATCATTTGAACAGTTGGCGTACCTACCTACTAATGTGCAGTATGTGTAGGCAGATAATAATTTGCATTTGGCAGAATTGTTGTTATTGTTGTTCCATGGAAAGACCGACCGTTGTGTACTTGGAATGATTATGAAACCTATTAGGCATAAGTACCCAATTTAAATCCGTTGACAATTTACAACTTAATTTATCCTCAATAACATTCCTAATTAAATTATTAAAGGTATGAATAAAACACAAAACAAGTAGGTAGCTGTTTCTGTTACAAGAGAAGTAAATAAATAACTATTGGGTAACGACAAAATGGTAAATAAAGAATTCAACCTTACTAATCGAGCACAGAAACACATTTTTCTTTACATTTCCGACAGTTGATGACTTATTTTTAATAAATTTTCCATGACTTACAATAAGTAATTATGATTGTATACAATCTAGTAAATAATGATTATTTTATAATAAGGTACAAGATACTCTCGTTAGCTTTAATAGTATGTGACTATTCTCTACAGCCTAGCCTACAAAGTTTGCAACATCTGCAACCGGCGGAAATAAAAGGACAGAAAAAAAATAGAAGCGTTTTACCTACCAATAAAACGCATATTAATTTACTTACCTTATTCGAAGCTTATTTAATTGAGATAGGCACTACGTTTCCCGCCTTCACATTTCTATATATATCCATCTCTTTCTAAAACCTCACTTCCGCTTGGCAGTGGTAGGGAGGCTCGTAAAGCGAGCCTCGCCATTTTGAATTCATTGAGTCCAATTACCAGGGAGAACTTGTTCATAAGCTTCGAATAAGGTAAGTAAATTAATATGCGTTTTATTGGTAGGTAAAACGCTTCTATTAATTTGACTTGACCGTTATTCGAAGCTTATTTAATTGAGACGTGTTTGTTATCGCCTGGTGGAAGTGATGAAGACGCCAATGTGATATATTAGGTATTAATATGTAGGTAATTTGAGATCAAATTGATATAGGCATGAATAAGTAAAACATAAGTATTAGACAGTTTATATTTGATGATCAAGACACAAAATATAAATAATAAATCATATTGAGTTTACAACATCAATTATAATGATTATACAAACGATAAAAGTAATTACATTATTTCTAATCAACTGGATTAAATAATGCTGTTATTGACACACTGTTAGTAGCGGGTCTAACCTCGCGCTTATAAAATTTGCCAAATGTATTTTCGGACCGCCAATTTCCTCTAGCAAGAATTTCCTCGAGGGGGTAATTATCGACCCAATTTTTAGAGGCAACAGCTGACCTAATACTCCCCGGAGATGTCCGAATACTGGCTTCTGTTAACAGGGACTTGATCCAGCCTGCAATTAGGGTTTTCGATGCAGGTTTAGGTTCACCTCTAATGTTAATAAACAAATTACTACAATTTGCAGCATTTCTTCGATTTTCGAGAAGCGAGATCGAATGCTTAGCCCAATAGACCGGGTCTAGATTTTTATTACATTTATTGGAAATTAATCTCCAACCAGACTGTCTGTAATCTACCGTATCAGTTTTCGATCCAAAAACCGGCCAAAAAATTACAACATCATCTTGATTAGAATAATTATTTGAGTCAACTCTGAGTAAAGTCAAATCATGTATTCTTCTACCGGAGCATAAGAGAAGAAGAGCAGCTGTATGTCTCTGCACTTGGAAAATATTATTTTCATCGATGCGTTTACTGTCCAGGAAATTAGCGAGGTCGTTTATGTTCCAAATAGGGGGCTTACCGTGAGGAACTGATTTCTGCAATGCTATAGACTTTAAGACATGTTTTACTAGGACGTTTGAACTTAACTGGCCGGAAGAGTCTGGGTTACAAAGAGTTGAAACCACAGATTTGTGTAACAAAATAGAATTGTACGATAATTTATTTATTAAATGGAGATCCGATAGAAATCTAGCTAAATCGCTTGCTGTTGGAGTTGAAGGGCTAATCTGATGCGTTTGGCACCAAACTAGCCATCTCCTCCAAGCAATACCATAAACTTTACGTGTAGAGGGACGCCACGACTTCTTAAGAAGCTCTAATTGATTATGATTCCAGGATCTTAACATCCCAGACCACCCCCACATTTCCAGACTTCCAGAGTCATTTTGTGGACGTTCGGCGGTGGTAGTCCTGTTGTCGTGTCGATCAGAACTTTCTCTAGGTGATATATTGTGAATGGGGCTGCTAGGGCACGCGATTTGATATCGGGTCGCCAAAACACTCGCTCCCACCGAGGTACCACCAGTAAGTACGTTCCCTGTGCTTGATTGAGGTAACCTAGGACTTTGGGAATCAGAAAAGGTGGAGGGAACAACCACGCTAGATTGTAATTCCACGTTCGGGAGAATGCATCGTAAAACAGGGCTTGGTCGTCTTTTTGGTCTAGTGACACGTAATTCGACACTACATGAGCTCGGTTGGACGCGAAAAGATCGATCAGTGGAACTCCCCATTTGGAGAATATTTTGTTCGTGCATTCTACCGACAGATGCCACTCGGGAGTTATGCGAAACCTCGACAGATGATCTGCGTGGGCATTGTATATACCTGGTATGTGAAAGACTTTCATGTGCATTTGATATTGTTCTATGATTTGGAAAACCTTGCAGGTTAAGTCCAGGAGAGGAGCTGATTTGGTGCCGCCCTCGTGACGTAGATATGCAACTACCGACTTGTTGTCGCTCTGAATCAAAATCGTCTTGTGTTTCAGGAGCTGACAATGATCTCCCAAAACTCTTAGGATTGCTATCATTTCCTTTTGGTTGCAATGGAGATCTTTCTCGGCTTCTGACCACAGACCCGACAGTGAGAGATTGTCCAGGCGAGCTCCCCAAGCAATGTCCGATGCATCTGTTGTGAGGAAATGCATAGGAGGCGGCATGTGTATGGCTGACGATTGCTCGCAATTTTGACGCCACCATATCACGTTTTCTATAGCATCGCGAGGTAAGTTGTGCAATATCCTGTGATTCGACTTCAAAACTGCGTTCAATAAGCTCAGAAGCGCTCGAAAATTGATCCTCCTTTCGGAACAGTGAAGCTCGCAAAATTGAGTAGACCCACGAGGCTTTGGAGCTCCTTGAGTGTCGTGCGCTCCTTCCGCAGCAAATGATCGATTTTCGATACAAGAGCAGGAAATTTTTCGTCGGGAAGTCGTTTGAGATTCTCCCATGGATCCCAATAAATCCCTAGAAAGACTAAGTTCTTTGACGGCGTGATGATCGACTTTTCGTAATTGATCAGCCAGCCTAACGTCTCCAGGGTATCGAGCAAATTTTTTTTTTACATGGCCCCGGAGCTTGATTTCGTCCTGGTGAGCTATCAAAAAATCGTCGAGAAAGACTATTATCCTCACACCTCGTTGCCTGAGTGTCTGGTCTATCCAATTGGTTAGCGTAGCAAAGGTCTTGGGCGCTGTGCTCAGACCAAAGGGTAAACACGTCATTTCTAGCAATTCGTTGCGATAAACTAGACGTAGAAACCTTCTGTGGCTCCGGGCCACAGGTACATGAAAATAGGCCTGAGAGAGATTGATTTTGCATAGCCAGTCCTTTGGTTGCAAAAAATCCGGGATGCGATTCACATTTATCAGTTTGAATCGATCCGTTATGATGTAAAAATTGAGTGTCTTTAAATTGAATATTGGTCGACTCGAGCCGTCGCCTTTGGGGACAAGAAACATCGATGACAGGAAGCTTGGCGAAGCAACCACCCGCTCCAGAATGCCCTGAACTAGCATTTTGTTTATGATACTTGTCATTTCGGCAGACTCTGGAACATTTAGGTTGGTTCTGACAAGGTTGGGGTAAACAAGCGGTGGTTTTTGGCAAAAGGGTATGGCGATACCCGGATATTATTTTTAGAATGTACTTTGGTGCATTCATTTGTTCCCATTGGTCCGCAAAATGCAGGAGACGGCCTGCTCTGAACGAGTCAATACTTACGTCTTTTATTGTCGTTATTCCGCTGGGGAGATAACGCGCGTTTTCGCACATGCCTCGATTGATTATTTTGCCGAGCATTCGGACGGCCACGAAAGTTACTGCGATTATTCGGTGCGACCGAATTATATTGAGCAGCATGACCACGAGGGTTAGAATCACCTTGCGGAGGTGGATTACTGTGGCTGCAACCACCTTGCGAAGGTGGGTCACTTCCAACACATTGCGAATGTGTGGTAATATGTTGGCATGCCTGAGCATTGCGAGAAAATCCTTGCAAGGATTTATTCTAAGGCTTGGACCCCTGCGAGGGGCCACGAAACTTATTTGGATCCGCCTGCGAGGCAGAAGACGTGTTACCTTTTTGCGACGGCCAAAAATATTTTCTTACTGCGCCAGATTTTTCAATAGCAGCAGTGAACTTCTCTGCGTTGAACAAATTGGTACACGTTGGAGGAATTTTCTTTAAACTGGCCTTCATCAACGGGTCCTTTGCCTGTTTAGTGACACAATCTCGTCGCATTTGAAGGATCTCAGCACGATGCCCACAAATGATCTGTAGTAAGTCTGAGGAACGTCTACTATAATCTCCTGTGGAAAAAAGGTCACTAACTTTTTGAAGTAAAGTGTCATAACTAAGCGTTACACTATTTCTTGCCCATTGTAAGAGTTCTTGAAGGGTTCCTTGCAAAGCGTCCCTTTGTTTGAGCACACACATGGTCAAGGCTGCGAAAGCCTTATCAGCATGCACGAGATGACGAGGAGACTCAAATGCTTTAACTTCTTCATTCGTTTCAATATCTGTGTAACCCGGTGAATAATTATATAATTTTTGGATTTCTGAATACCTGATTTCATTCCAGTCACTTTTACCTAAATGCTGATAATCACATAACAATTTTATATAATTTTCTGGAGCCTTTGGCATAGAAGGCTCTTTTAGCTTAGTTTCGAGAGATAAGGTGAATTCTTGATCACCACTTGCACTGAAACTACTAGGTTCAACATCAAGCATTTGTTCGTAACTATTTTCGTTAATATTAGACATTAGAGAGATGGCATCATAATCCAAATTAGTACTCACGCGTTGACTGCTATCCTGGCTAGCGATTCGCCGATGAAGGTTTCGTACTTCTTTAGTGAGTTTCCGAAATTTACGTTCGGAGAGCCGCTTACGCTTGCCCCCCCTTTTCTTGTTGCGGCGACTTATCTTTGGGCTGCCTCCGCTAGTCGAGGAACTGCTTTCAAAACTTGAACAACTTGAACTCGAGCTGCTAGAACTCCTCGACCGAACTCGCCGCTTCCGCGGTGAAGAACGTACTTGAGGAACCGCACTAGCCACTCTATCAGCATTATTATCCAAATTTTCCATATTTAAAATTATTAAGATCGAAAGATTAAACTTTGATATAAATTGAATATAAATTTTATTTAAATTCAAATAAAATCGTTAGGAATATTTATAAAAAAAATTAGATATGCTAAGACGTGTCGTCACGAGACGACCGATCACGGCGGGAAAAGAGACGCCAATGAATTCAAAATGGCGAGGCTCGCTTTACGAGCCTCCCTACCACTGCCAAGCGGAAGTGAGGTTTTAGAAAGAGATGGATATATATAGAAATGTGAAGGCGGGAAACGTAGTGCCTATCTCAATTAAATAAGCTTCGAATAACGGTCAAGTCAAATTAATAAGTAGATGAATATAGTGTAACTGGTAACTTGCACCTTGTTATCATGCCGTAAAGTAAACAAGAAACTATAACTAAGTAGTCAGTCCCGCAATTTTCCAAGTAATGGACTAGCCTGTTTTAAAAGGAAGTCGCTCGTTTAAATTGCAATGAGTAATCTGTATCTTCTTTTAGTGATAAAATGTGCAGTTGCTATATGAACTTTGACAAAGAACAAGCATTCAGTAGCAGTAGGTATATATGTATATAGTTGCATGCCTTACACACAACGATTCTTTCTTAGTTGGACATGAGTAATTATTATAAGATGTTTATCAAGATACTGGTGAGACCGTGGAGTATGCATTACGGCCGCGTTCGTGTGGAACAGTCTCCGCATCGTGTGCAGCTGATGTTAGATAAAGAATCTCCTCTTTATTAAGCAGTCTATCTATGTATAGTGCTCGTCGTTATAAAGAAACTCATCACCAAAAAATTTATCAGACGCTGTATGTAATTGTATGTATCAACGAAACATCAAGTGAGTATGATCTTGAAAAGCTCTAGCTTGTTCTTCTCTATGCGATTTTGTTTACTTTGGAACGTGCACTAACACCCGGTTTCCGAAAGGCCGATCAATGTTAAAATCAATTTAATCTCTTGTCAAATCATCTGATTGGTTAACTGAATTATCAACAACCAATCAGATGACTTGACAAAAGATTTAACAGGAGATTAGTTAATTTTAGCGTTGACAAGCCTTTCAGAAACCGGGTGTAAGCGTCACTGACAGACAAACTGGCGAAATGCTGCCGTTCTAAACGCACCATTTTTTTTATTATTATGGGAACAGTCTGCAATTGATTGCAAGTAAGAGATACTTATATGATGTTTTTAAAAATGAAAACTTCAAAATACTGGAAGGTACGTCTTTCTGTTCCTCCTATGGTACCAATTAATTTTATAATATACAGAAGGTAAGAAAAACATTAAGTAAGAGCTCATAAAAGTACCTTGAACGCACTATGATGTTACACAATATCGCAGTAACTACAACATGTAGACGAGGTACCTGTTCACAATTGTATGGATGACCAAACCCAAGGTCGGGAGATTACTCACTGAGCATACTATATGTTTTAGATAATGATGTTTTTTGTTACATCTACTAATTTGACTGATGACAATATTATGCAGGTATACGAGAGTCACACCTGTAGTTAGTGCCAACGATCTTTTTGATGTTTTTTTTATGTTTTACATATAGGAATATAGCGTTAGTAGGATAAAAATGGATAACCCAACAAAACAGAAAACTAACAAATTTTACACGCTTGGTTTGAAAAGTTGTGATTCGTGCAATTTTGTTTGCGTTTACGTAGGGGATGAGTATACTGTTATTGCCCTGTTGAAATTAGGTGCATTAACAAATGGGTGTAGTTTTAATAATTTCCCAAGCTACATTAAATATATAGGTAGGTGCTACATGGGGATTTTTGTTTGTAAATAATTACTTCGGATTTTTATGCTTTCCTCAATATTATAATTCAGGAACAGTTATATGTTATAAAAATATTGATCATTTGTCTTTGCCTGCCTGAATTCCCACTTTTATGATTTATCCAACAGGCAACGCCATCTAACGAAATTGGTATAAACTAATGTAGCTTTAATTCAGCATTAATTTGTTACGTGGTATTCCGCTAGAGGCGTTAGTGAAACTTTTTTTCTGGGCAGGAAAGTACTTATTCTGGATTTTGAGAGGAATTTTTTTTATAAGATTCTGAAGTTTGTAAGGATGGGAAAACCAAGTATGTGGTATCTACTATATTCTAGGTAGTCGCAGCTAAAATAAGGAGGAATATGTTGGTAAATTACCGCATATCCTAGGTCAGTAATCTCTAAAATAATAAAATTATAAACATCTAGTAGAGCTTACAATAAAAAATAAACACTTTTAACACTTCGATGCTATTATAAAAGTATTGCAGATCTATTATTTTTTATTGGTCACAAAGTCAGTAAACTACTGCAACAATGCAATATTTTACTGCAATTATGTAAGTAGATATGTAAGTAGGTACCTACATTGGAAATAAAGTGGAAGCTTGTTGTAACATTAACTATCAGTATCCTTTAATCGCTAATAATGAATAGTTTTTCTTTTATAACTAGCATATCATCATTAACTAGGTACTTATAACTACAAAACATAAGTATATGCAGCACCTTGTGTAAAACAAAAACTAAGTGAAAAATCCCCGTCATTTCCTTAGCATACATTTCTTATGTTTTTTTATTGAAATTATGAGAAATTAAAAAGCATATCCTCAACTAAAGACAAATTTTCAAAAATTTGTACACAATAATATCGATTGTTACTTACTGATCGATTTTCAAAACTTCTCCCCATAGTTGCATACCTACATAAATATATTCTGAACGTCTTAAGCCGAAGGTTAAATGAATTACACGAGCGTTTTTTTTTTCTTAGCTATAATGTATTCTGAAATTTCCTTCAATAAGCTTTTAAATTAATATTGTACTGTTTATAAACATGTTTTGATTAACAATATCAAAGCAATTTCAATCTATTTAATGACTGCTAAGTATTTGTTTGCTCCCAGACATTACATATGACTTCACATGTCACGTTTCAATAAATAAACAACGGCACATATTTTGCGATCTAGCGACCTGGTAATCTAGAAACTGTTCTCGACGTATCGTATTACAAGGAAACAATTAAATACATGTGTGTGATAAAGATGTTCTATAAAATTACGCCTGTTTTATTCAAGTATTTACATGTCTTGTTATGATATAGATAAATAACTACATGGTTTAATATATTATGTTTGCTTGCTGACCCTTTAGAATTTGCTCAACAGTTTTTCCACCTTGATTTTCTCCCATTCAATTTTGCATTTCTACTGTTCTACTGTTTACGCTTAGCAATATGCTTATTATTTGAAACAAATTTCACTACATATCATGCAGATTCCATTTGAGGCATATAAGTTATACCCTAATTAATACGTAATTTAGTTTCGAATAAATAATTATTATCCAGTTTATGATCGTTAAGGTCAACCAACCTTTACGTTTTTTCTAAACTGCGCAAATATTATATTATTATACTGAATGCTTGAATGTTGATGTTATTGTATTACTTGAGATAAAAGAATCTACAAGTTTTTACGAGATGTATATAAATTACATTAGAGTTCGATAAAACAAATATGACTACTCACCTCCGGGTGTCGTTCTCAGCCGTCGGGTTTTGTTTCTTCCCACGCCATAACAGTAAACAATCGAAAGCCCCTTTTTTAAAAGGTGGCTTTAACATTTTCCAGCGCTTTCTAAAATCAATAGTCTTTGAACTTCCACTTTCACTAGCATCTGCACTTAGGATATTCGGTTCAGATACACCTTTTCGCATCTCACTAACACTGTTGGGTTTTTTGGCAACCCTTTCGAAATTTAATGTTGACACTGATCCACCAGGAGGACATGTTTTTCTTTTTGATAAAGGCGTTGATGTAACAAAAGACGTTTCAACACATTCTAAACCACTGTCCGAGAACTCCGAAATGTCTGTAACACCTTCACAAATACTATGCAGCTTTGGTCTTCGGTTTACCAAGACTGTTTTGGCATTTAATATACTGTTCTGTTCGAAGTTTTTACTTTTCACATGGTGATGTATATCAACGAACGCTGTGACGTCCTCGCAACTTTTGGTGTTGTACTTGGATAATGTGAAGTAAGGCTTGGTTTCTTGTTTTGGTTCCGTTTCGACCTCCATCTCACCGATGCTTGCCAAATTATCTTCACTTTTGGACAACACTTTTGTGTTCGATAGTTTCTTAGATCTCGGTGGGCGTTTCGGGGAAGTTTCCGAAGTGACTCGCGCTATCGAATAGGGTTCGTCTGCTCTCTTAGTGGGCTTTGAGTACTTTGCGATAATTCTGTTTATTTCAGCGTTGTTCTTACGTCTATATGTGTGTCGTTTGAAGTTGAGTGGCTGTTGATAAGCGTCGGCTACGGTTGCTCCGGCGACCCTCGCTGACCTTTCGCGCCATTCGGCCACTTTGTCCTCTATCAGCCTCTGCAGCTCGAGTGCGCGCATCATCGGCCCTATTTCTGGCATTTTGACGTATTTAGATAAACTTAATTTAATGTGTACTACTTTATTTGGCAATGTCTTTGGTAATTCTCATGTAGCTAATTGTGTTCAACAAACTGCATAATTCTGCAACAAAACAAGAATAGGTAGATCCATAAAAAATGTTTCCTTTTAATCGTATATGACTATCTGAGGAAACATTTACAATATAATTAGCACAGTCACGAAAGGTCTTCGCATTTCGACGTTCCTTCAATTAGTGGCCTAGTTTACTCAATCAACAGCTCCTAATTAAATAGGTAGAAGCCCTTTCAAGTTCCATAATGACGCCATGTTTTCTGCTAACACATTCTAGCTTTAACCACTTTTCGAAAAGACGACAATAAATAGCAAGATATTGGGACTTACCAGAAATAGGTTTTACATAAGGTTAAGAATAAGTATGTCACATTTTGATGCTATTGACACTATATCAATAAAATATAGAGATTATTTTTAATTTAAACTCTTATAAATACACAAATAGATGTAGTTATATCCAATTGCTTTATTTTTACCAATTAATAAATTCTGCGTGATGGCAGGTACTAACAGTATCAAGTAATGACTGTAAGTACGTATCTAAACAGGTGGCTATTT